GGTGATAGGTGTGTGCACATGCGGGTGGGGTTTAGCCTAATTACCAAGTAACTATAAAAGGTGGTGGGGAGCACCAGGCGTCAGCTCTGACAATTTATTCATTTCCTTTGAGAAGATAAACTGCATTTTCAAACCGTCTCCGTGTTTCATTGTTTTCATTAACCCTTTGGAACATGACACCAACCTTTTGACAAGTAAAATCAATGGGGAAGCCAGATTCACTTAACAACCATGTTATTAACTTATCAACTGCAGTGATTCACTGAACAAATGTGGCAAGAAAGGTCGTAAAATGGGGCAAAACTCACTTAACAAATGTCTCGCTTGACGAGAAAGAATTTGGGCTCAATTGTGGTCATAAATTGAGGACTACCTGTACAGAAATCGTGCCTAAATTGAAAACTTGGTTCCATACCCTCCCAGTACATCGATAAAGGAGTGCCCTGATTCAATAATTATTCTATTTGGGTGTCCATGCTGTGTCTTGAAAAGCTTTCTCTCTCCATTTCAGTGAAAGAAATAAATTTTAAATTTTTTTGCAAAATAGATTAACAAGCAAATAAGATGCTACATTCCTTCTGGTTTTTGTAAATATAGATTACGTTGGTACTTGGCCACAAAGTACAGGCGAATATGATCTGTATTTGAACCAAGTTCACATAGATGTATATTTTTGCCTGAATGACTGCACACACTTCATAAGAACAGTGGCAATTGTATTTGTGCAATGGATAACAGTATCTGCTCTGTATATCTTATGCAACAAATCCCATATAAATGAGACACTTGGTTTTTCTGGAACTGCACTTAATTTATGAGCAAGATTTTAAAATTCTCAGCTTTCTAAAATATTTCACCTTAAATTTAGTCTCTTTCTTTGGTTCTGAGCAGAGCTATTCCATTTTATTTTCAAAGACACATTTTCAGCCTATCTGCTTATCAAAGCCATCCAAAATTCAGAGGATGTCAAAGGTGGTTTGTTTTCTAGCATACCAACTTTCTATTGGTATGTTTAAATACCATTTAAGTAAACATTTTTGTTAAAAAAGTAGAATATGTCACCAAATATTGTTTATGGATGATTTAGTCATCACAAGCACCATGTTTGGGTTAAATCAAATCAAATCAAGTAAGTAGGTAGATTTATAGTGGGGAAAATCTCTTATTCAACATAGACAGCTCCTGCACACAAATATCTTGTAGGTTATCAGATTATTTTAGATATATAATGTGCATAGATGAATATTTTACATATGAAATATGCATACAAAGGTCCTGCCACATACAGGCTGTCGCCACAGGAGACAAAATACCGCTATGTTGTGATTGTCTCTATGTCTCTGTCTCTTTAAAGAAACATAACTATGGCTTAATGTTGATCTGGATAATCCAAATAACCCTTATTTAGACTAAACTGCCCTGTTCCAGGATGCCGACTCTCTGAAAGGAAGACAAATGGATTTTTAGATTTCATTTTCTTTCCCAACATACACTATATTGCCAAAAGTATTCTCTCACCCATCTAAATAATCAGAATCAGGTGTTCCAATCACTTCCATGACCACAGGTGT